ATTTCCATAATATTCAGTCACAGTTTGGTTACCTTGTTTCAGCGTGCCAATGGACTCAATCAGCTCAGCAACGCGGATCATGTCACCTTGACCATTACGAGCCTTGAGGCTATTCCATGCTTCTGATGCGAGCTTGGAAGACATAATAGTTTTCTTGATACCATGGTCAACAGTCTGTTGAATCCAGCTGAGGACCATGATGTTGTTTCGACTCTAGGATGAGAACAGAGCATCAGTGGGATTAGGGGAATGGATGGTGCCATTGATAAAGCCAAGCTTATTCTTGGCGGCCAGAGCATTGAGCATCGCCATGCTCCAGTCATTGTAATTGGTGGTGGTCAGCTTCTCACCTACCAGAAGAAGTCCAGGTTGCTCAGAACCATGGAGATAGAAAGGATCTGTGGTGGGATTTGGTGTTTGTATTGTTGCCATTGTATAGCGGCGACTAGGGTTGCTCTGATACCATAACAACAGGTATTCTTTCGAAACCCTAAACTTGTCTTCTCATTGATTCTGTTTGATCTTATATACATAGTTTGTGCATTACAGGACAAAGAGTTCTAGCTGTAAAATGACAGGGAAGAAGTACGAAAATGCAGAGCAAGGAGGGAACACAAGAAGAGCAAATGAAAGAGACGTTGTGGCTTCAGGGCACAACGACAACGTCTTGATCTTCTTCAGTCTTGGTTGCCAGCTACGACGATGTTTCGACCATCTTCGAACCCTTTAGTTGAGATGGCACCGTTCTAGGTGACTCTTTCTTTGCTTTCGGACCAGCTAATTCCGTTGTTAGTCGTTGAAGTGGCGGATGAAAATTTTGAATTTTCCTCTGATATGAGCATATTCTTATTACCTCTGAAAGTGATTAAGGAAATAGTGATTTTATGTAGACAGTTTCTATGGGGAATAGGTGAAAACTCTGCACGAAAACTTGCTGTGGTAGCATGGGACAAGTTACCTAAACCAAAGCAGGAAGGGGGTTTGGAAATAGAATAAAGAACCTTGCTTGCACTAGACATGTCTGGAATGTTTTGATTAAAAGAGAATCCTGGTGGGTAGTATAGATTTATAGATATTGGATGAAAAGTCAATTAATCAGTGAAAGTGATATGGAATGATTTGAGAACCCCGGCTTCTAAAGTTCCCTGATATGCATTGGTTTGGGGCCAGTATAGTGTTCCTAGACATAGTACCATTAGTTGGCTGGTTATAAAGACAGATTAATTAATGACTCGGGAAAAATTGAAGATGTGGGGCAAGATCTCAAATGATGGTTGTGTACTTTGTCGTAATGAGAAATTGAAGAAATACGTCTAGAAAAATGATCTATTTTTTTCTTCACAATATATCAAAATTCATATCATTTTGAAGAAAATTATTGATCTAATTTTTCTGCGTAGAATGATTTTCAATTACGGATTAAAATTATTACAAATTTTCTCTCCGAGAACATATACAAACCCAATAAATAATTTTTCATTAAGTATGATGATCTCCATCAAAGTTCTCGTGAAACTTGTATACAAGATTACTACTAGCATGCATGGTAGACGGCTCAAGCATCGCCCAATACCAATGAATGGGTGAGGATGGGGTAATAATAGATTTAAGTGTTAGCACATAATAATAGCATTTTTTGTTGATTATAAAAGGGTATAACTTCCTACCAAAATTAAGAAAAAGGTATAACAAGGTAATACTATTTTTTTTTTTTTGGTGAAAAGGTAATACTATATTTTAAATTGAGGAGAGAGTATCGAATTTTGAATGCCGAAAAAATCCAATAACGTCACTCAATCTTTAGATTTGATCTCTGAGGAGTCTCCATGCTGAAAAAACCCAATAAATTAAAACCCTCCCAAACAAGTTGCTGTCAGATATTTGATCTTTAGTAACAAAATGTAAAATACCCAAATAAGTTGCTGTCAGATTAACCATTTTTAGAAAAATATGTATTCATTTTGTGGCTCCTATTCCCAGCAATTTGTTGTTTCTCTCTTTTGGTTGTTTGTCTTGATTTATTCTAGAAACAGTAGTACGTATTCATATGGTGGTTGTGAGCGTTGGTTGATTGTCTTGATTCAAATGGCTAAATTACACATTTGGTCACTCGAATTGCATAAATCTTTCACGTTTGCCACTCGAATTATTTTCTTTTCATATTCACCACTAACTTTATGAATCATTTCACCGTAGTCACTGACCGTTAGTCTCCGTTAACTCCGTCAGTTTTTTGATGACGTAGCAAATGGAATTGCTGACTAGACTGTTAACTTAATGACATGTCAATTAAAAATTAAAAAAATAGACAAAAAGAGAGGAGATGAGTGGGCCCGCCATATTAAAAAAAGCCAATGAAATAAAAAGTAAACATTAAAAAAAAATCCTTCCTCATCTCCCCTACCTCCCCGCCGCCATCCCTAGAGCATCCCCTTCCTCACCGCCCTAGCAGCCTCACCCACTCCTTCGCCCCCACCGTCACCTCCATCAGAAGCTTCTCGGTGAACATAGGCCACGTCACCATCCCTTTCACTCACAATCTCGTCTCAAATTCTTGCCGCAGCCATTCTTCCTCGTCGCTCTCGTCCCTCCCGAAGCTTCCAATTAGATCTCAATCTCCCTTAGTTGCTCTGCCCTGAACGTCGACATGCTCCCAAATCAAATGTAAATGACCGACCCAATTCCTTTACAAGCGAGCCATTTCTGGCACTTTAAAGCTTCTTTCCCCCTTTATGATTCCTTTACCCTGTTGTTATTGCAAAGAGACAGGGGATCAATGTGCCAAGCTCGTCTCACGAGAGAGGCTCTGCAGTACGGCATAATCCCGCTCAAACTCGTAGAAGCTGTTGGCGATCACGTCGTATGATTTTAGTTCCGACTCCCTGACCGTTTTCGTCAACTTCCCGAACTCCGATTCCCCATCCTACCTCGCGTACTCCGGCAGGCGGCAACTACTTCCAGGGCATCGAAATTTCTTCGAGGAGGTTTGGGATCAGGAACGGTTCTGAATCCAGGGAGAACCTTTTGTAAGGCTCGTGCATCCGGATCGTCTCGCGGTGGCGGAGAGTGAGAAGAAGCCAGTGTCGTGGAAGACTAGTATGGGGATTCTGAATTTGCCCGCAGAATCAGTGGACCAGAGGAGGCAGTCCGGTCGGGAAGCTTTGCGAAGGTCTTCGAAGGGTTGGCGGAGCGAGGTGGTGGCGAAGAAGAACTGACATGCCATTCTTTCATTGGGTGTTTTATTATGGTGGACCCACTTCTCCTTGCTTTGTCTAATTTTTTAATTGACATGTCATAAAGTTAACGATCTAGTCAACAATTCTGTTTGCCACGTCATCAAAAAACTAACAGAGTTAACGGAGACTAACGGTCGGTGGCTATGGTGAAACGATTTGTAAAGTTAGTGGTGAATATGAAAGGAAAGTAATTCGAGTGGCAAACGTGAAAGATTAATGTAATTCGAGTGACCAAATGTGTAATTTAGCCTGATTCAAATGTTCATCTTTAGAAACAATTTGTTGCCGGATGAATCATCTTTAGAAACAATACGTGTTCATGGATGCAGATAACGTGCATAACCAGATCTGAAATTTTTAGTTTTAAGTGGGTTAGATCTAAGAGATAAGAATCATTAATAGTTCTTTAGGTTTTTTTCTTTTACTTTTTTAATCGATTTTTATTTTCTTTGTTTTAACTGAGATTTCAATTTTTTTTACACACATGAAACAGTTTCATTGTAATATACACAAATACACAATGATAACAATTTTTAATAAATTTCGTGAAAATAAATTCATATCACCCATACGACTTGTTAGTAACAAGTTGTTACCACCCTGGTAACATATGATATCACTTGATACCCAGTGGCGTAGCCAGGATTTCATCTGAGGTGGGTCCACTTAGAAGAAAAATACACCTGGTAAAATAATTTTTGTTAACTTTGCGAATCATTCATGACATAATCTTATATTAGAAAATTTTGGTTAATTAAAATAGATTAGCAGTCGAAAGTATCAAGAATATTACTCTATATACCAAACAATTATTAATGATTTAGTTAGTCGTTCTATTTTGTATGATGTTCTTTGTCAAAAACCATTAGTATCTATAACTCGAGTTGTCAAAAGATATTTAATAATAAAGCTTACACCAAACAATAATTCATGATTTAGTTAGTCATTCGCTTACAACTGATGTTATTTGTCAAGAATCTTTTTGAATCAATAAATTGAGTTGTTGGAAGAGGTTCAATAATATATCTTATACTATTTACTAGCATGCTCCCTCATATAAGAAAGTCAACTTATAGAAAAATGAAGTTTGCACAAATCTGTATATCGTGTACTTAACAAATGAGGTCACCAAGATTCGAATACAAAATCTTTCGATCAACTATTCTCAATTAAATACGCCCTAATTTTCGATAATTTAACTATTGTACCTAATTGAGCAATTTTCCTTCCGAGTCAGGGTGGGTCCCGGGACCCACCCTGTTATACTCTCCCTCCGCCACTGTTGATACCACCTTTGTTTTTAACTCGAATTTTGAAAAATTCGCACAGAAGGAACGAGTACGTTTTGATGTATTAGATCTCTACAAATTTATGTGGAACTATTTCTAAGACAAAAAGTACCATCCTATACCACCCTAGTACGGTGTGGTAAATGGTGTTTTACGTTCATAAAAGGTACGCGCTAAATGGTGGTTAATAATATCATGTATGCAATCATTTTACACTCTTATGGGTTCATACCTGCATGATACACACTCTCATAAAGGGGTATAATCTTATGTACATACCAAAATATACCACATTGCAAAATAAAATTCTAATAGATAGTTTTTTTTTTCCAAAATAGGTCTATCGGTCTTTATAAATAGTGAAGCCAATAAAGCACTACAAGTACTATTACATTTACATCCATCTGATAAGCTAAGAAGATTGAAAAGGAAAGAGGTGCGATAACAACAAGTAGTAAATATATAGTTTGTATCGATGGATTCGGAAACAGCAATTCAGCTGCTGGAGGCTCAGCGGCAAGTTTGGGATCACTCCTACGCCTACATCAAGACCATGGCTGTTCAGTCCGCCATGGAACTGGACATCCCAGGTGTGGTCCAGAGCCACGGCAAGCCCATCACCGTCCGCGAGCTGGGCTCGGCCCCGAAAATCGCACCGGCCAGAATCCCTTTCCTCGCCCGCCTCATGCGGATGCTGGCCCACATGGGCTACTTCGTGGAGAATCTGAAAGACGGCGATGATGAAACAGCCACGAGCTATTCCGCAACGCTGATGTGCGGGTTTCTGGTCAAAGACAGCCCTTTCAACGCCGCAACATGGTTCCTCCTGGCCAACGACCCGATCGCGGTGGACCCGTGGCGCTCTTTCGGCGCTTGGATACGTCAACCCCCCGCCGCCGCCGGCGTCGGAGATTTCCCGTTCACCCATGCTCACAATGGGAAGAAGCTGTACGAGGTGTGCAGGGATGTCCCGCGGATAGCGAAGATGATGAACGAAGGGATCGGAAGAGACATCTCTGGCTGTTCAGCAAGGCCCTGCTGGCCGAGTGTGGGTCCCACTTCCACGGTCTCGAGTCGATCGTGGACGTGACCGGCCACACGGGCACGATTTCCGAGGACCTCGCGGAGGCCTTCCCGCAGATTCGCTGCATCGTCTTCGATCTCGCCCAGGTGGTCTCTCCGGCTGGTGACGTGTTTCAAGAGATCCCTCCCGCTGATGCCGTCTTCCTCAAGGTAAGTTCTAGCAAGTCTTATGATGCACCCTCTCACAACATGAAAAGTCATTTTTTTTCTTCTTTCAATGCACGCAGTGGGTACTGTGCGACTGGAGCGACGAATCATGTGTGAAGATACTGAAGCAAGCCAAGGAAGCGGTGACGAGCAATGGAAGGGGAAAGGTGATGATAGTAGAAATGGTGGCAGGGCACCAGAGCTGCAGCGATCGCGAAGCGACTGGAACACTCTTGTATCTTGACATGGGAATTATGATGACTGTTGAAGGAAAGGTAAGAACCGAACCACACTCTGAAGCTGGATTCGCCAGTTACACCATTACCCCAGTTTGTGGCCTGCGAGTCCTCATTGAACTCTATCCTTAAAATTAGTACGTTACATATCTATCAGAGGTGACTCAGATAATCAAGTATTCGAGGGTTTCGTAGCATCTACGAGCTCCCATGCCTTATACTATTTTAAGGAAAACCCTCTGGCATGCATGATGGCCATTTAGTTACAATAAAAAAAAATGTTGAATAATTTTACCTGTGGGTTTGCTTGCTGCGACCTTGCGTGTGTTTAGTTCCACAGTCAATTATGTAATAGTGATGGGTAGATCTTTCACGATCTATATAAGCCAATTCCGCTCAATGAAACAATTAATAATACAGTGCGGCTTGATTAGTGCTGTTCTTCGTCTGGGTTGTGGTTATTCAACTTTTACTCTCATTTTAATATGATCTCTATGAACCCATAATTTATAATAGGAATATATAGTGAGATATCTTTATCTAGACTTTGAATTAGATCGAGATTTGGGTATGATACTATACCGTAACCTCTAATGGATAAACCCCAGGTCCCAATTCTCTAAACTCAAATTCGAAGTTCAATTTAATACAAAATATTAATTGACCGTTGAGATTGGCCGGAGCTCTGAAAAGGAGATCTAACGGTCACATCACATTGAGTATGGTATATGATCGTTAGATATACTTTTCTGAGCTCCGGCCAATCTCAACGGACAATTGACATTTTAAAAAAAAAATTGAACTTATGGTTTGAGTTTAGAGAATCGGGCTCTGGGTTTATCTATTAGAGGTTAGGGTATAGTATCATACCTCTAACTCAATTTAATTCATGGTCTAGATAAAAATATCTCATTAGAAGTACCTGGAGTATATATTTAATTTTGTTATAAACAAGGTTCAAGAAAGTGTTAGGCGTAAGGCGATGGTTGAGGCTCTGCCTTGCGGTTAGCATGCTTATGCTTCGCCTAGGCGTGTCTAAAAGTTACATGTAAACGTAGCATAATATCTCCCACTTGCCTAGAATCACAACTTTATGAGCCAAATATCATCGCATATATCTCTTATTTCTAAACTTACATAAAAAACATATGTCAAAACATAAAACATAGTGTGTAGAAATGGGTAGTAATAAGGAAGAAGCTATAAAATAGCGAAGCATATTGAGACGAAGAAGAGCAATAAAGAAAGAAGAAACAACTCTAAAGATGGTCATCTCTAACTATATCGATCTTAGCCTAACTATAGACAAATCAAGACCGTCCTCCCTATTAGCATATCATAAGGAAGAAAAAAGATATCATGATATCATTTTGAGACACAACTCAATGTTGACTAGGCACGACCGAGGTCTCAACGTGTTTGTAACGCCTTCTCCACTGCTTTTGGCCTAGGCAAGGCGTTTTCCATCTAACTTGCGTCTAGGTGCGTTTTTTAGAACCATGGTTATGAGGATGAGTTATCTTACTTTAATAATTCCTATGACGGTTGTCTTTCTTTTGTAACTAATTTATGATGAATGGTTGAGATTAACTTAAACGAAATTCAGTAAAATTTTGGTCATCCCTCCAATGCTCCAACTGTAAATAATATGATATGCTTGGGTTATGACAATTACATATCTTTTTTTTTTTACGAAAAAGCCTGAATTATTTCACTAATGAGTTATCCAACGATACTCCCGCTTCTCCTGGTCGTCCGTCTTCGTCTGTTGGTATTCCAGGTACTCTGAGAGCCATCGCTCTGCTTTACCAAAAATATCGAATTCTTCCAGTTTCTTTTTATTCCATAACTGACAATTCCGTTCCTCCCAGATGAACCAAAGCACTACGAGAAATTGCCTGATTTGGTCGTCGGAGGCCTTCGCTTGGAGCTCTGCCATCCAATCCTCATAGGTGAGATTCTGCTCTACTTCGAACATCTGTCTGAGTGAACTAGGGCCTCAGATCCTTCGAACCCATCCGCATTCTTGAAAAATATGCTTCTGGGTTTCCTTTAGCCCACAAAATGGCATTCATCACATCCTCAATCGATCCGATTAACGATGTTTGCTCCCGTTGGTAGGGGTGGGCAATGGGCGGGTTGGGTGGATTTTGGTCTAAAATTGACCCACCCGCTTACTAGCGGGTTAGAATACATGTGACCCGCAATCCACCCACATACTTATGCGGGTTGGGTTGGGTGGGTGGCGGATTGGTGCGGTTGGGTAGCGGGTTAACCTGCAAAAGCAATTCTTCAACTAGCCATTAAGAAAATTGACTAACATTTATAATAAGTTCAAAGCAAATTAGTAAGATTGTATCAATAATTTGTAATTTTGATACAATTAATAATTTATAGTTTGTATCCCAATATTTAATGGATATTAACCATAATTTGAATACCAATATCCAATGGATACTGCATAACACAATAAACAATAATAGTAGTTAAAACTATTCTTTATTCTCCACCTTTTGAAGTATATGGTCAGACTGTAGTGCAATTCGAAAATATGATGAATATTCGATACCATAAGAAACAACATTTTTCCATGTAAAGATAGGGCGCGGGTCATACGGATGACCCGCAATCCACCCACCATCCACCCACATAAGTGTGGGTGGAAGATTTCACAATCCGCAATTCACCCGCATCAATCACCCACTGTATGCGGGTCGGGTTATTTGCGGGTGGATCGATATCAATCCGCGAATCAACCAGCCACGTGCCCACCCCTACCCGTAGGGAGAACATTTCTTATCCACCTCCACGCAAATACGATCCCAGTCAATAGGTGTATAGAGTTCACCTACTTCGTCTTCATGTCTATTGAACCAATGGTAGTAAGCCAATTTGACTGAATACCTCCCTGACTTTTCAAAGACCCATATTCGTTTGTCTTCGGCGGGTTGTTTGGGTATGGGAATTTTGAGAATTGGTTGTCTGTCAATGGGATTGAATCAAGATTTAAGGATAGAGTAATTCCAAACCCTGTTTTCCAAATCCATTAGCTCAGAAACTGAGGTAGTGGGGGCAAACACAGTTTGTGGTGATTCTACTTTGTAGTTCATCGATGTAGGCACCCACCTGTCATGCCATATATCCACTTTATGTCTGTTACCAATCCTCCATCTAAGACCAGCTCTCACCACCTCCTTAGCTGCTAGAACACTTCTCCAAATGTGGCTAGGATTATTACCCTCCTCTGCTTCCAGAACATCTATATTTGTGTAATATTTCGCTTTGTAAACATGAGCCAGTAGTGAATCAGGGTGCTGGATAAGTTTCCAAAATTGTTTACCTAGTAGTGCTAGGTTGAAATCCTGGAGATTTCTCCAACCTAACCCTCCTTTGGACTTGTGCACGCACAAATTCTTCCTACTCACCCAGTGAATTCGGCTTTCCTCCCCTTGCTGGCCCCACTATAAGTTTAAAATCAAACTCTGGATTTCTTTTATAACTGCCACCGGGACTAGAAACACTTGCATCACATTATTCATCTAGGCTTGAGCTACGACATTGATTAAAACTTCCTTCCCTCCGCTAGACAGCAGTTTGCTTTTCCATAACTTGACCTTCTTACGAACTCTGTCAACCAAGTAACTAAAAACCGCCTTCTTTTGCCTCCCAATAACAGCTGGGAGTCCCAAGTATTTCTGATGATACTCAACCACTTTCATTCCCATTATATTTCCGATCTCTGTACTCAAAATATCATCAACATTAGGAGAGAAGGAGAGTTCTGATTAACCAGATTGACTTTCTGCCAACTTTCTTCCTCATAGAGATTCAAAATAGCCCTTAGTTTACCACATTCTTCTTTTGTAGCCTTTGAGAAAAGAACACTATCATCCGCGAATAGTAGATGACTAATAGAAGGAGCTCCTCTTTTTACACAAATTCCTTTTATTTTCTTAGCCCTCTCTGCTTGTGTTAAGAGAGCAGATAAGCCTTCTGCAATAAAGAGAAACAAATATGGTGAAATGGGATCGCCTTTTCTCAAACCTCTGGTAGGGAAAAAAGTCTATGTTTGGTGTCCATTAACAAGTATCGAATAGGACACTGTCGAGAGACAGTGTGCATAATCGAAGCTACCCATCTTTCATGAAAACCAAGCTTCTTCATAACCACCTCCAGAAAACTCCATTCGACTCTATCATAAGCTTTTGAAATGTCTAATTTTGCCGACATGAAGCATTTCTTTCCTTGAGTTATGTTCTTTATTGAGTGGAAACACTCAAAGGCTACCATCATATTGTCAGTTATAAGTCTTCTCGGGACGAAAGCACTCTGAAATTCACTAATCACCTCATTTAAAACTCCTTTTAGTCTATTAGCAAGAACTTTAGAAACGATCTTGTATAGTACCTTGCATAAACTAATTGGTAGAAAATCCACCGGTGATTCCACTTCCTTCTTCTTAGGGATCAAAGCAATCCTTCATTAAGAAAGTGTTGTAACTCTCTGGTCGCATCTTGGGCTATATCATCCTAATTCTTTTGAAAGAAAAAGGTTGTCATGCCATCTTGTCCGAGTGCTTTGTGGGGTCCCATCTTCTTTAAAGCCCTCCAAATCTCATCCTCCGTAAATGGTTTTAGCAATTCATCATTCATTGCAGGGGAGACTTTGCTTTGGATGGCTTCTAGAATTCTTTCTGGGGGAATTGCATTACCTGCACAAAAGAGAAACTTAAAATAGTTAGTTAGGCACTCCCCCACTGCCTTCTGTCCTTCCTTCACCTCCCCGTTCTCTTCCACCATCTTAGAGATAGTATTTCTGTTTCTTCAATCCGAAGCATTTCGATGGAAGAACTTAGTGTTCTTGTCCCCCCCCCTCCACCAGTCCACACTTGACCTCTGTCAACACATCAGTTCCTCTTGAATTAATATCTCATTAAACTCCCTCTTGATAGCTTTCCACTGTATAATCACCGCAACAGTAGATTTGCTTTTACTAAGTTTGTCAAGGGCCCTTTAAGCTTTGTATTTTCTAGCTATTAGATCCCCAAAAGTCTTCCTACTCCATTCTAATAGTTGTCTTTCACACATCTTAATTTTCTCAACAATGGATATGCTTTGTCCCGCATGCCACGT